TTTCTGGCACGGAGGACTCGGAGAAGTCGAGTTCGGCTGTCCATTGCAGTCAATACTTTCATAGCGGCTCGGCGTAGCTCTTCCGCTCGGTGGATATCCTGTACCGGGTCGGTAGACAGGCATTTGGGATCAATGGGGTCATCGGAGAGCAGCGCCGCTGGTAGACGTTGCGTAAAAGGGAACCCTGTTGCACAGGTGAACAACCACTCCGATGAGGGTAAAGGTTCCGAACAGAGCAACACAACTGCCACATAGCACACCATTCGGCTACAGTGTCCTGGGCAACCCGATGAACTGCTACATGGAGCTGTCGTTTCCATTAATTCCCAGCACGTTCCGTTCGACAGTTTTGGCACGGTGAACGGGCATCCGTAAGGGAAAAGCACGCATCGTTGTTTTGCATGTGATCGGCAAACGTTCCCTGGAACTCCGTTCCAGGATCAACTACGACAACCTTTGGCGTGCCAAACGCTCGTGCCCATGCACGTACAAACTCCTGCCATGCTACATATGCTGACTTCCTTGCCCCTGCATATCAAACTAAACTGAAGAGAGATGGCCCAACAGATGATATTGATCTAAAATGCGGCGCGACGTTGAGTGGGCACCTGACCTCGACCAAATCAATACCAACTAAAGGTTGAAGCGATAAGACGTAGGCTCCACAGCAGGACGGCGAGCACATGGTCGTTTGTGCGCATCGCGTTCGTCGCACTTAAAATTTGTCAGCACCCAGCGTGCTACCTCAGGCTTTGCATTTTTCCGCCTCACAAGCCGAGCGAAGTCTCGATCCCCAGGATGACCAGAGCTGCCCTGGGAAAATTCGAGATCGGCCAACTGGTCGGCAGTAGGTGTCACGTCTGGCTGAACAGGTACTTCACCATCGCTATCAGGTTCGGCACTGGGACCGCCAATAGAAACTTCTCCAGGCCCATATTCTTCAGGAGCTGCTTCCAAAGGAAGACTGAAGCTGGCACTGTTCACTGGAAGTGCCTGCTTGATCTGCTTAACCTGTTGGTAGGGAGTCGTTCCAATGCCGCCCCCATCGAGCTCCGAAGATGAAGAGTAGGCCCCATTTGTGGTCTGCCACAAAATCAGTCGCCATTCTCCTCTGCTCGCCTCGGCCGCTTCAACCGAATCCTGAAGTGGCGGACCCCCAGGAAACGCCTGGAAAACCTCGAAGCACGACCATGCGTTTGCCAAATACCGGGCCAGCCAGGCTTTCACTGGTAGCATCTGGAGAAATGAATTGCCCAACATGACTGAGACAAGCACCCCAAGGACAGACAATTGCCAGCAACGCGCCAACGCACATCATGTCGGCAGCAGCCATGCGGTAGAAAGAATGCGGCCAGTCAATTTCCCGTCCAAGCTACGGACCGAAGACGGTTCAGACCGCGCATCCTGAATACGCTCGGTAGTACCATCTGACTAGACAACCGCAGTCATCCGCTCTTTGGTAAAAATATTCCGCTGATGGGGGGCCGACGGAGTCGTTCGGATAGAAGAAAGCGTCGCGGGGTTCCTGACGCACTCGGAAACGCGCGCGCGACCATTGAAAATATCTTCTGCCCACGAGCCCATCAGATGTCGCGTTCCTCCACGACCGTCTCGAAGCCGCCCCCGCCCACGGTGTTCTCGCGCATCTCGCGCTCGGCCGCGCACGTGGCCAAGCGCCGGAGTTGTCGATGCGATGCTGGGTCGCCCGACCCGCGAGTCCTCATGCACCACTCGCGGTACTGTAAGTCCATCTCGTAGATCTCCTTGAAGGCGTAGCTCGCATACCTCCCGAACGTCGCTCGCTCCATGTGGTCTGGGGCGGCAGTGCTGATGAAGCCGTCGGTCGGGGGCCTCGTCCAGCGCGTCTGGCGGTCGTCGCACGTCCACCACAGGGCCTTGTTGTTGCCCCGATGGTGCATGACCTTCTCGGGGCGCGCGCACGCGCGGCCTGGTCGGTCTCCTCGGTGCCCGAGCCGTCGGGCCCCAGCCCCCTGCCCACCGCGAACCACTTCCCGCTGCTGATCTTCAGAACTCGGGAGACAGGTCGTGAGTCGCGAGGACGTTGCGTGGATGATGCCGCCTCCTGATCCAGGCTCCTGGAGCCCCTCAGCAGGTTCTCGCAGGCGTAGGCCCCGATGCGGGCCTCCGCGCGGCGCCCAATGGCCACGCGGTCAAGAACGGAGATCACCTTCAGACAGAACTGCTTCCATTGCCACGTCCGCTTCTCTGGGGTCATCGCGAGCTGACGGGGCCTCGCCGGAGGTTCCGGCCGCGGCCCCTCCTCGGCGAGGACGCGCTCCGCGCGGCGCAACATGTCACGGAGCGTCGGGAGAGCAGACAATTGGCTGAGAAAGACAGGTTTAAGCCGAGGCGCCTGCGGATTCGCATACAACACGGCGCCCGCAGGTTCAACGGCTCGGCAGCGCCCCCGAGTCGTGGGAGAGACCGTCATAATCTTCTTCTTTCTTTCTCTGCCAACCTTTCTCTGGTAAGTCTAATACATGGACCATAATGCATTCGCCCGCCCCTGCCCCATGCACTCTTGACTGGCTGCCGTCGAGCGCCTTCCTTGCGATGGCGCCACCTGGCAGATCAAGAACCACGCCAAGCTGTCTGAGCATCTCCACTGGGAGCAGTAAGGGCGCATTCACAGGCAAACAAATGCACCGCAAGAGCACCACAGTTCTTTACCGCGGCAATAGGCAATGTCCAGATGGAAGAAAATTTGGTAGATCCTCCAACGCCATGGCATCCATTTCCAGAGTAGGTATCCGGATAGGCTTTATACCGTAGGTACCCAAGACATTTCACCATGTTCTCGACTTGACATTGCCACATACTCCACGCTGAGCTCCAGCATCCGCCAAACCGAAGCCCATCTGAACTTATAAAATCCATTGGAAACCTGGCCTCTAGTGTCGGTAGTAGCAACGATAGGACAGGTGAAGGAACTGACTCCAGGCTGGATCTCAGGTTCCCGCAGGCAGAGGTCGCGCAGAAAATCGTCTGAATCGAGGGGGGCTGCCTGGAAGCCACCGAAGCCTGCTTGTCGCTCGCGTCCTCGCTCGTCTGGCCTGTTCGCACAGTCTCGAGCCCAGTGCCCCATTTTCCCACATCGGGCGCACTTCGAGCGGTTCGTCAATTTACTTTTGGTCCACCTCTTCGGTCGGGCATTTCCCGCGCGTTTCCCTCGACGCTTCCCTTTTCGGGGGCCTTTGGACTTTCCCTTTGGAGGCTGCGGTTTGGAAACGCCTCGTCCAATATTCCGTTTGTGCAGGTACTGTCGTACCTGACTGTAGTCAGCATAAAAGGCGATGGCCGCATCTTCTTCTAGAACCACGTCGTCGGGAAAGTGTCCAGCTACGAAGAATTATTCGTCATCTTCCATGTACTTGAGGGCCACGTTTATGATCGCGCCCATGATCTCGTCTTCCTCATAGGCCCCGGGCAAAGTAAACAAAGACTGTCGCATGAGAACCCATGGAAAGCGTCGCGATCCGACTCCTGAACCTCGCATCCGTCAACATCTTCTTGATATCCGATAAAATACGAGGAGGAACTCATGCCATGGATACGATGGCCGCCTTTGCCAGAAGGTAGCGTTCGTTCAAGCTTCCACTGTTTTTCCACGCGTAAACACAAAGTCAAAATCGCATGATCCCTCTGTCCTGTGCTCAGCCATATCCCAAGCAGCGTCATTAAGCTTGGGTTATCTCAAGGCTCTGGCAGGATCATGCACTTCTCGAGATCTCGGAAGAGCACGCGCCTACGCGCAATATACCTGACCAGAGGCTCATCTCGCTCACGCTTGGTGTCTTCTGAATAGGAAAGCTTCTCAAAAGCCTTCGGAATCCTGCGGTCTTGGTACTCGGCCAAAGCCTTCTAGATGTTTTTATCACAACCTGCCCGCCGTCCTTGGCAGGAAGCTGGTCCTCGGTAAATTCGTGAATGATGATCTTGAGGTCGTCCAGGCCATAACGGTAGATCAGGTAACCACGTTGTGCTTTCAAAGTTCTAATTGTAGCGAGCCACATCTGCAGCTCCATCATGTAAGGGCCTTGGGTCTAGACGGGTATCCAAACCTTTTCCATCCCAATAAGTCGTTTGGTATATTTGGGGCCTCCGATGTTTCAGGAAATTGTCCCGATTGGCGATCAGAAGATGTGGCGGTGGTATATCCTCAATAGGTCGGAGCAAAGGGTGTGAAAAGCATAGCCTGTCCTCGCAGAGGCTTCTTATGCCGATCTGGTGCAGCCCGCGAACCACGTCCCCGCGCAGTCCAACCTGATGATGATTGTTGCGTATTGGGCTGTGTCCCCGTCCAGGGCTGTCCGCTGGCCCAGTCCTGATCTGACCAGCCCACATTGTCGTCACCTTCCCAAGGAATCTTCTCGTCTTCCAGCTCCTGCCCAAGGATCCTGATCTGGTCGTACCGAAGGATCTGCTGGAAGCCCATCTTCTCGAAGCTGAGCGTCGTCTGGAAAATCCACGGCGGTGCTCGGTGCAATGGGGTAGAAAGAGGGAAGAAAGGGAGAATAGTAAAGAGTATGTCACCCGAGAACCGAATGACAGGGGAGTCGTCCTGACTCCCCTCGTGGATCTCAACCACAGGCTCCGTTGCCACTGTGGATTGTACGGGAGTGGCTGTATGGGTACAGAGAGACACGAGGTTCAATCAAGAGGACCCGTGCTAGAAGAGACTAAGTTCTCTTTCCTTTTTACGGAGGCGTGGGCGCGTCCGTTACCTGCGCGCCATGATAGCTCAAGGGCCATTGCGATCGTGATCAAGGAAGAAAAGGAGGAATAGGAATAAGAGGAAGACAAGGAAGAGGAATAAGAGGAAGATGAGGAGGAGGAGGAGGACGAGGAGGAGAAGGAGGAGGAGGACGGACCCTCTGGCCTCCCAGCGGGGCGTGAGGGCATCTGAGGCGCCTCCCGCCCCGATGACGCCGACGCCGACGACGCCGCCGTCGTCGTCGGCGGCGGCGGCGGCGGCCTGGCCTGGCGCCGACGCCGCCGCGGCGGGCGCGGCCACCGCGGCTGGCACGGCCGGGGACTGGCTGGCAGCGGCAGGCGCCGCCTCCCCCCCTCCTGCATCCAGAGCTGAAGCCAAGCAAGAGGCTCAGCGCCCTTCGTGAGGGGCTTGGCTCGGGTCGACCCCTCGGTCCGCCCGCGGTGCTGGTCAGCCCCCAGCCTGTCTTGGCGCCGCCCATCCCTCCCTCCTGCCTTCTCCTCGGTGCTGCTGCTGCTCCCTGCCCCCAGTGCTCCCTGCCCTGGAAGGCAGAAGGCCGAACTGCAGGAGGAGGAGGAGGAGGAGGAGGAGGATAAGCACCCCTGCAGGCGAGGCCCTTCGGTGAGCGCGCCAAGGGAAGGAATCGGGCAGTGCAGGGACGCCCAGGGCTGCTCAGCGTATGGGGGCAGGGGCGCTTTTGCATTCCTTGATGCTCCGCCTACGGCTTCACATCGACACGTGCTATGTCCTCCCCGGGTCCTGTCGGCATTGGACGATGTCTGAGGCTTGGACTGACTGGGCGAGAGAGACCGAAAGAGAAAGACAGAGAAAGTGAGAGAAAGAGGGAGAGACAGAAAGAGAGAGAGAGAGAGAGAAAGTGTGAGAAAGGAATAAAGAAAGAGAGAGAGAGAGAGGGAGCGAGAGAGAGAGAGAGAACGAGCCCCTCCTCCTCATCCTCCTCCTCCTCCTCCTCCTCCTCCTCCCCCTTCCTCCATCCCTCCCTCCCTCCCTCCCTCCCTCCCTCCGTCCCTCCCCCCTTCCCTCCCTCCCTCCCCCCCTCCCTCCCGCTCTCCCAGTCCTTGCAGCAGGCTGCCGTGGCGGCACGAAGCTGACCGCGCCTGCTGCCCCTCGCGAGTGGCGCCAGGTGGGGGACCTATCTGCGGGGCCCGGCCAGGTGTGGAGGACTTGGATCGAGCTGAGGTGGCCGCTCACCTCCTCCCTGCCTCCCTCCCTCCTAGATGGGGTCCGAGCAGAGGGGGTCGGAGGATCGCGCCGCATCGCCGATGCATTGGCGCTACATCGGTGATGCATCGGCGATGCATCGCCGACGTCATCGATGCATCCGCGACGTCGGCGTGGGGAACTCCCTTCCACCCACGCCCTGGGAGGGCGGGTTGGGACGATGGCACCAGACCTCGGGAGGCCCCCCCTGTCGCCGCCACGGCTGGCCGCTGCTCCGACTCTGGTACGCTCGGACCTAGGGTGGTGGCCCCGGGGCCACCTCTGCGGGACTGCTGCCTCCACTTTCCCCGATCTGACAGGGCCAGATTGAGCGTGGGATGGGCTGGGCCGGTCCCAACCCTCATCCTCCCACCCTTCCCGAAGGTCTCCCTCGGAGGGGAGGCCCGTCCCCTCCTCTTTCCGCACGCCGGCACCCCCCCGGCTCGTGCTTGGGCGGAGGTCGACTCGGCCCTCAGTCGGCGGCGGGCCTCTCCTTTTCTCCTCCGCAGCACAGGGCTCCAGCTTTGAGGCAAGTGCCGCAGACCGCGTCGGACCCCACGGGCACATCCAGGCATGACGGACCCCGCAGCTCCCAAGCACGCCCGGCTTGGAGGTCAGGCCAGCGGATGCGGCAGCCTGCTGGATGAAGCGCAGCGGCACGCTCAGGTCCGCACCCCGCGCGGCCGCGAACGCGGAAGCCGAGAATGAGCCGCCGCCAGAGGGGCCGCACCAGGACATCACATACGACCGCCTTGTCAAAGCGGAGTGGGCGAAACTAGATGAGAAGGCACAGCAGCTTCGGGCGCGGGCTGCAGCTGCGGGGGGGGCCCTCCTCCGGGCTGGGCCCCGCTCCTATGGGCGGCAGGCCCCCGGGGCACCGTGGGGACGGCGCAGCACCCGGCGTCGGGCCTTTCCAAGGAAGCTCCAGCGGGAGCGGTGCCGTTGCAGCAGCCGGGGGGGAGCACAGAGGACGCAGAAGCCCACGCGGTCGCCTTCCGCCAGTGGTAAATGACGGGCTCGGCAGCAGGACAGGCCGCGCCGTGGAAAGATACGCGCGCAGCCCAGCAGGGGCAGAGCAACCGGCTGCAGCAGGCCCTGGAGCAGCAGCAGGCGAAGGAGGAAGCCCTGCCGCCCTCGCCGACGCAGCCTGGTGCACCGGTGGCAGAGCAGCGAGCCGCGGGCCATCCAGTGCCATCTGCGGAGCTCCCATTGCAGTGGCAGGCGCAGCCCGCGGCGCCCCGCGAGTGGGGGCAGCGGTGCGCCACCAGGCCGCCGTTGCGGCCAACTCACCGCGGGTGGGCTCCTGCATGAGCGAGGGGCTGGGGAGGCCAGGCGGGCCAGCCAAACTCCCACCAAGAGGTCTCTGGCCAGGGGGCCCTGGGCACGGCTGCCCACGGGCGGGCGTTGCAAATGGCGCTGCAGACCGCCGCCAGGCAGCCTCCCAGGACGGCGCAGCGCGGGCTCGCCGCCGAGGGCGCGCCAGGCACTGGGGCTTGGCTGGGCCAGGCGGCCGTCCTTCCAGCAGCGAAAAGGCAGTGGGCCCAGGTCACGATGGCCCACGCCGGGGCGCTGCCGGCCGCCGCCGAGCAGCCACCCCAGACGGCGTGGCACGGCCAGCCAGCCGAGCCGGCGCCGTCCGCATGGGGCTGGTCGAGCCAGGCGGTCTTCCCCGCAGAAGCGCAGGGGCAGTAGTGGGCCCAAGGCGCAGTGCGCGGTGGTCCACGCGTGGGTGCCGCAGGCTGCCTCTGGGACGCTGCTGCAGCCGGCGCAGCCGGGGCACGGAGACGAAGGTGAGTTGGGCATGTGGGCCAGGCCGGGCCAGCAGTCACCTCTTCGTGCAGCAGCCGGGCAGTGGGTCCAAGGCGAGGGGCTAAAAGCGTGGGTCCCGCAGGCAGCCGCGGGGCCACCTGCCCCACCACCGCAAAGCAACCTCATTCTGGCGACTGCTCCGTGCCTGGGAGGCGGTGAAGTTCACCAGGAACGTGAGCTGGCCAGTCGAGGTGGGCCCCCCGCTGCGGCTGCCAACCCGCTCTTCCCTCTGTACCAGGCGGCCCACGAGGACGCGACAGGGCGGGAGCCGAACAGGTACGACGGGTGGGTCTCCCTGATGCTGGGGAGGGCGATTCCGAACGATCGGCTGATCGCCCACTGGGCGAAGACGCGGCCCCCCATGGCGCCGCTCCCCGGAGGCTGCGGTGCCAAGTGGTCCCGCGTGCCCAAGGGCGGCCCGCCGGCGGGCGTACTCTTCCAGGCGGGCCCCGGAAAAGGACGCGAATCAGGTGGAGAGGGAGGCGCTCCTGCAGAAACGCTTGGCGGAGCCGCTCAGCCACGGCAGGCCGCCGGCTGCCCGGGCGGACGCCCTGCCGCCCCTGCCTGCTCAGATGTAGGCCGCGGGACGCCCTGTGCATCCCGCCTTGTTCTCCCAGCCCAGGCCCTGCTTCCTCATCCCCCCTCTCGTTGGAATCATGGTGTCCTGCCAGCGCAGTCCAGTCCTGAGCGCGCCCGGCGCGGCGCCTGGGAGAGGCAGTGCGCAAGAGACCCGTGGTGCATTCAAAGGTGCATGGACTTACGGAGGATGTTGTACAGGCCTCGCACTGGAAATAGTTACGCTTCTTCCTCCCCCTCCTTGCTTTCTTCCCCCTCTCGTCTCCTCCATCAGAGATGCAGAGCCAGTCGGATCTGAGGGCGCAGTTCGCGCTACTCTCCATCCTGGTGCGCCTCGACACTCGGGGGCGTGACGGTGTGACTGAGGTCTTGGCGCAAGGTCTTTTTTGTGAACAGCGGGCAAGAAGCGAGATAAGAAGAGAAGAGGCCCGTCCAGGGGCAAGAAAGATGGAAATCCGCGGCCCCTCTGGGAGGCTTTCCTTACCCAGGCACCCGAACAATGAGCACGCCAGCCTGGCCAGCAAGACGTCTTGGCGCAAGGTCTGTGCTGGAGGCATGGAGCCCCTCTCCGCACCTGCCTCCTCTTTTCTCCTCTTGGCCCCCTCTCGCCCCAGACTCTCCCCCCCAGGCACAACGCAGCGGCCACCATTTCACACGGAATGGCGCGCGCGCGCGCCGGCTAGCGCCAGTGCGTCCAGCGGCGCGTTGCAGAGGTCCTGGCGGTTTCCTCCCACGAGCCTCCCGAGGAGACACCTCACCCTGCGCGTGCGCCTCCTCCTCCGGCTCCGCTCCCTTCCGCTGCCGTGCCTCCTCCCTGCCGCTCTCCTCCCCATCGCCCGCCGCGCTGGGGCACGGCGCAGCCCGCGGGCGACGGCGGCCCCGCGCGCCCTCCAGGAGCGGAGTGGCCCGGCCAGGCCGCGCGGGGGAGGGGGGTCCCCCCCCCCCCCAAAGGGGGGCAAAAACTTCCAGGCAGGGCGCTCCGGGGGATGCCGCCCGTCCTCGGGCGGGGCCGCCCGCGGCTCCCGGGGCCCTCGGAACGGCCACCCCGTCCCGCTTCCTCGCTCCTGCTGCGCCTCCTCTCCTCGTCCTCCGTCCTCTGCTCTCCCCTCCCCCCTCGCCCCTCGCCCTGCTCTCTCTCTCTCTCTCTCCCCCCTCCTGCGTCCTCGGCGCGTTCGGCGGGGCGGGCCCGGCCGGGCGCCGGAGGCATCGCTGGAGCGAGCGACGAGCGACCCCGTGCGGGTGCGGCCCCACGTCGGCACCGCCGAATCTGCATGGCCAGTCGCTCACATGTCCGCATCGCCCTTCTCCTCCTCTCTTCCTGTTTCTGTCTCCCCGGGCGGGGGAGGTCCGTGGCTCGCCTCGATCCTGGCGCCAGCCACTTCCGACGTGGGGCTCGCAATCCCTCGTCAGCTCACTGCGCTCCCCGGGGTTGGTGGAGGGACCGGTCGCCCGCGGCTCTCGGTTTCGGGGCCCGTGGACGACGCCGTGGACAGGGCGGAGGCTTGGTGCTGGTCGAAGGTGGTCGCCGCGTAAATGCCCTCCCCCCTGGTTCTCGTTTTCTCGTTTTCTCTACCCCTCTCTCTCTCTCTCTCTCTCTTCCTCCCTCCCTCTCGGCTGCGCCTCATTCGCGGCAGGGCCCTAGTCGAGCAGGACGGGCCTCTGCTGGGGGTGGCGGATGGCGGGCTGGGGTGGGTTGGGAGGGGAGTTTCCTCCTCTCCTCCCCCATCCGCTCGCCCCTCGTCCGTCTCTCTTTCTCTTTCTCTTTCTCTTTCTCTTTCTCTTTCTCTCTCTCTCTCTCTCTCTCTCTCTCTCTCTCTCTCTCTCTCACCCGCCCATACGTCCAGTATCTATCCCTTGCTCCTCTTTCTCCTGCGTTTGCTTGCTTTCCCTCTGCGCGTACTGCACCGCTGCTGTCTCGTGCTTGAGCCA